CAGCAACGGGATTCGGTTAATCCCTTATGTGGACGATCTCCTATTCATCAGTGCTACTTGGGCTGAGGCAATCCGAACACGAGCCGTCATTCTAGATGACCTCAGCTCCGCCGGCTTTGTCGTCAATATGGAGAAATCACAACTCGAGCCCTCGCAACGGCTCAAATTTCTTGGCCTCATGCTAGACACTCGCACCTCCTCCTTCTCTGTCGATGCTGACCGCCGAGGCTGGTTGTTTGAGGAACTCGACCATTTGTGCCGAATCAGCACGCAGGGCCGTCGTACCCCAGTTCGCCGAGTGGCTAGAGTGGCAGGCATGCTAGCCTCTATGACGCTGGCACTTGGCACCATCGCTCGTGCCTTCTCCCATCACCTGCTTTCTCAAATTAGTGCGTGCCAAACTTGGGGGGAATCCATTTGCTTGACACCAGAGTCAGTTGACGAGCTGAGATTTTTGCTGACTCAGTTCGACGTCTTCAATGGTTATTGTTTCCATAATCCGCACATTTATGACGTGGTCACGTATGTGGATGCAAGCGACCATGCTTGGGGAAGCTGCTACTCTACGCCGGATGGTCGCGTCGGCTCAAGTTCTTCTCCATTTCCTCGCACGCTATCAGCCGCCTCAAGCACGCATCGTGAACTCGCTGGGATTCTGTGGGCTCTGGCGTCTTTCAGCCGCGACATTCGGCGATCACATGTGTTGCTTCGGAGCGACAGCCAGGCAGCTTACTACATCTTAAAGAAGGGTGGTTCGCGCCACGCGGAGCTCACCCTAATTTGTCGCGCCATCATCACGCTTTGCGTGCGCCACAAGATTCGACTCACGGCACAGTGGATCCCTCGAGAGCTCAACACCGAGGCTGACGCGCTCTCAAAAATTGAACTTCATGATGACTATTGTCTCGCGCAGACATGGTTTCAATTACTCCAGCGTCGCTGGGGCCCACACACTATCGACTTGTTCTCGTCGCCGTCCAACGCACAGCTGCCCCGTTTTTGCTCTCTTAACTTTCATAAAGAGGCTGTCGTGCAAGATGCATTCTCTCTCAGTTGGACAGGAGAGAACTGCTATGCCTTTCCCCCACCGCCCCTAATCCCAGCTGTTATTGCTCACGCCCGTCGTTCCAGAACGGTGATAACTCTTGTGATCCCGGAGTGGCCTAGCTCTTTTTGGTGGCCATTGCTGCGCCCAAAGGGCACCGCGTGGGCAAATGATGTCCGCGAGAGCATGTATCTCGCCCATGGCTCCGTATGTCTAGGTGTTGGTAGCTATCCCCAGGCCTTTAGTGGTGCCGGTATTCCCCATTCGCACATGTATGCACTCCGTTTGATATATACTAATGCATAGTCATGTAAACATGCAGGATCTTACATTAGACGCTTGATGATGGACCTCTTGACACTCACAGTCGACTTGCGCGCTCAATCAACCATTCGCACATACGAACCATACTGGCGACAATATCGCGCCTTTTGTCACGAGCATTCGCTGCCATTCCTCCCCGCTACTGACCTGACAACGACTCTTTTCCTACTACACTCGATCCGAAGGGGCGCAACCGTATCGGCCGTGCGATCCGCTTGCTCCGCAATCTCATGTGCCCATTGGTTGGTCGGCTGCCCTTCTCCTATTCGAGGACCACTTTCTTCACAAGTGCGGGAGTATGCGCAGCGCCACTGTGGCAAACCCTCACTAGTAAAGGAACTGATACCCCCGGCGAAGATCTACGACATATGCGACATCTATTTCGCGTCGTCGGATCCCGCCACGTTCCAGCGCGGTCTGATTCCCCTTTTGATGTTCGCGGCCTTCCTGCGCTTCTCCGACCTGATCGCCCTCCAGTGGCACCAGATCGAATTCGATCGTGACTGCATGTGGCTCTTCATTCCCCGCTCCAAAACGGATCAGGCTGGATCAGGTGCCTGGGTCCCAGTTGCCGCCTCTACTGCTCGTCACTGCCCAGTCGCCCGCATGCAACAATTTCTTTTCCTCGCGGGATTCTCTTCACAGACATTAGGCGCCCTGATCAGGGTGTTCCCGCCTAATGCTCGCGCTTCGCCGCCGGACCGATCCCCCTCATATGCCACGGTTAGAAGCTGGTGTCGCGAGGCATTCTGTCGGGTCGGCCTCAACCCGAATGTCCTCGGCACGCATTCTTTCCGCAAATCGGCGGCCACTGTGGCAGTCGATGTGGGTGTTCCCAATCGACTCTTCAAGGCTCTCGGCCGATGGCGTAGCGACAAGGCTCGTGAGTTGTATGTCACTCAACTCGATCGCGAGTTGGTGGTGGCGTCTCGTACCCTTCAGGACCCGACGCGTCCTAGTCCAACCCATCGTTACGCATCCACCCTCGCACGTCATCGTCACATTCCCTCGATATGATGTCTCGCTTACCTATGACGAGTGCACTGCACACTCCTCGGAGAGTCGTGTCACAATATGTAAAAAAATTTAAAGATAAAAAATTTGAGGATTGTGATTCGACTAGTAGAGGAGTTTGCTGTAAAGGAGACAAACTCCTTGACATTCCTGCAGGTCTCTCAGACCTGCCACCTAGCCTCATTTGCATTTTCCAGATCTTGATTTGCTTCCCTCCCTCCCAACCCCCTTTTATCGTAGACTGTTCTTGTAGCTTATGGTTGAACCAACTGTTATTGCCTATCAGAGTGTGCTGTATAATTGAGATTTGTAATGCTATGACGACTGCGCTGCACACTCCTCGGAGAGTCGTGTCACAATATGATAAAGTGCAACTATGCTACAACAAAGCCAGCCACCATCTTCAGCTATCACCTCCCACTGGCAGGTGTCGTCGTCCCGTACGACGACGTTGGATCCCGCCAGATTTTTGAATTAACATGATTTTCAAAATTGGGGTCGTCACCAGCGCGCTCACACAACCCGGATAATCGTGTCCTTTGCGATCGGGTCCTCGCAGCGACGGCCGTTGTTGAGGGCCGCGAATTTGAACTGCTTGCCTGCGTAGTATCGCTTCAGCAACACGGCGCACGTCTCGCCGCGAGTCTGGTAGTGCTCCGCGAGATCCACCATGCTCTTCCTCCCCGCCGCCAACGGAACTGTGTTAAGGATGTTATTTACAAATATATGTTGAAGAGCAGCATAAGTTCCAACGCATCCGCATTTCCAAACGCAAAGCATCAGCATCGATGCTCAAATGGGACCAAGTAGTAGGTCTGAAACCGGAGAATACGGAGGTGCCACGACGTAGTGCGGCTGCATACTGCAGGTAACACTGGACAACAGGGATAGTATTGGAACGCTTGGGCACGGCGGGAGGCGCAACTCACCGTGGGATGCGAGGAGAAGCGCCAGCGCCAACACCAGCATGGCGCGGACAATGTTCGCGAGGCGGAAAAACGTTGCCATGATGGCCTAAAGGAAGACCGGATTGACAGATCAGAGAGAAATAGATGCGATCAGGAGAAAGGAGATGGAATGATTCTGATGAATGCTATGTTCCAGGAGTGCGGTATTTATGCCACAAGACATCCAAATCAAGGCACATGAAAAACCTGGGGTCAAATTGGATTTCATGGGTACGACCAGGGTGTTGAACAATGCAATGCGTTCCAGTACGGTAATCTTCACCTCTGCCACCGCTATTCACGCCGCCAAGTATGGTGATCATGGCGTATGAAAAGCATTGGGTTCAAAATGGCATTTATGTGTTCGACCGAGGTTTCAAACTACGCAATACGTTCCCGTACGGTAACTTGTTTCACCTCGCCATCAATTTTGCTGCTAACGCGTTTCTCAAGTAGCAACGCGATCCGAGGCGCGATGAGGAAGCCGAGAAATGCGGGGCTTTGTGGCTTTGAATACTTTATAATCACCAACCACACCAATACCAAAGTGTAGATATTACAAATAGCATTGACACGACTGCTATAAAAGAACTCAAATTGTGTGCTCCAGGTAGCCATTTTGCGGCAGGCAGAGCTGAGGGGGGAGAAAATGGGGGTAAAAATCAGTCATCTTTTTTTGAACCGTCAGCCATGCCCGAAGGGCGTACATGCAGGGCCTCAGGATGTTCTAAATCCTAGCAAAGGCCCTGGCATTACCTGACTGTACATTCCCATTCTGGTCGACTATTTTCTTCATTCTAACAATATTTGCACGCTTTTTTGTAGCCTAGATTTGGTTGTGTTATAGAGGATATGGACTGCTCCCGTACATATCCAGTATGCTCTCATTCTTGTCGGTCGTTCACTTGTTAACATAAAAAGCACCAATAAATGTGCAATAAAACAAGTTACGCTCTTCTGTTCGGTTATCGTTGCCTGGAAAAGAAGGCATGGTCGGGCAGGTTCGCATCAATCTGCCGAAGCCATTGCGTTGCCGCCACCTCCAAGCCCCGCACAGCCCCCCGGTCTGACCACACCGTCCCCCACGTCTTGTACCCCGCAAAGCCAAACGGCACCAGAGGCGTCGTGAAAACCCCCCGTTGCCTCCCCTCGCTCGCCCCGTCAGCTGAATCCGACGATGGGCGGGCGGGCAAGTGCTTGGCGGATTGGAAGACGGGCAAGGAGGGCGGCGCGATCCAGAACCTGGCTCTGCAGAGGCTGCACGACCCTGGGGTGCAGAGAGAGGGTGAGAGCGGGTAGGTACGGGCAAATAGAAGAGCTACTTTGACATGCAAGCATGTACGATGAGTACGAAAGCTCATGAGGGATGCAGCTTGGGAGGGATGCAGCTTCGGAGGGAACACAAGCAAGGAATCAGCACAAGGAGCGAGCAAGAAAGCATCCGAGTTCTCTTTTCAGCCTTGAAAAAGAAGGCGCGACAATGACAGGGGCTGCTGATCAATCAGGCAAGGGGCTGCTGATCATTCAGGCAAGGGGCTGCTGAAAGATGAGGCAAGGGGCTGCTGACAGATGAGGCAAGGGGCTGACCGGAGGAGGAGGGCAGAGGGGAGGAGAGGCTGTGGAAGGTGAGGAAGGAGGCGGCGAGGTCCCGCGTGGTGGCGGCCGTGGGAATGCTGTACACCGGGTACCTGCGCTCGCTCGCAGGGGTGATGGGCGCGCAGGGGGGATGGGCGCGCAGGGGGGATGGGCGCGCAGGGGGGATGGGCACGTGGGATGAGACGGGGGAGGGAGCACGAGGGACAGTGGCAGGCCGTGGGAATGCTGTACACGGGATACCTGTGCACGCAGGGGGGATGGGCGTGTGAGGGGTGATGGCAGTGGGACGGGACAGGACCGGGGGGAGCATGGTGTCGTGAAAACCCCCCGTTGCCTCCTAGACGGAAACCGCTCCCAAAAGCTGTTGACCCTGCAGATCCAATCCCAGCATCGAGCAGAGAGGGGGTTGCCAAATTGCAATGTTTGCTTACAAATGTTCCACGCCGTACCGTTGTGCCCAAATCAAGGCCGCGATTAGTTCTGCTCGAGAGCTGCAGCTGGTATTGATAAGGACGTAATGGCGTTTCGTGATGGCGAGTCGTCGGCGGATTGGATGGCGCATCTCGAGCGCACCTTGCGCTCCACGCAGCCTGGTGGGTCGCCGTTGAAACCACGGTGCGCAGCACATGTAACCGGCGTAACCCTAAAATCGCAATTAATCGTAACCCTAAACTCACTGGAGTTCAAACCCTGAGTTCCGTACGCGCGGATCTATTGATCGCTAGGTGTTAGTCCTCACTTCCGCGCCGCTTCCATCGTCACTGCGAAAGAGTTGTTCTTCTGCTCCACGCCGAGCCGCCTCCTTCTCCCTGCCTTGTCATTCTCACCCGCTGTGCCTTGTCATGCCATCGCCTGCTTCCGTTCCGGCGAATCTCAACGGCGTCACTAACCAACTTTCGCCCGCTCCTCCACTCGCCCCCACCTCGTCCCAATCTCCCTTCAGCCCTTTCCGCTCCCCGCCTTCGTCCTCGTCCCCGTTTCCTGCCACCGTCAGCCGCGCTGCTTTCTCTGCACTCCGCTCGCCCCGCTCTAGCGGGCTCGCAGCAGAGGAAAAACATTCGGCGCCGCACCTTACACTCGCCTCACTCGCCCACTCCCTCTCCCCTCTTCCCCACTCTCTCCCCTCTCTCCGCTCTTCCGCACCCTATCCCCTGGATCCCCTCTCTCTCCTCTCTCCCTTGCATCCCTCCCTCTCACTCCCTCTCCCACCCTTTCCACCCTTCCGCCTGTCCCCGCCCTCTCAGCCACTCAGTGCCACGGAATTCTCGCAGCCGGGCCTGCCCTCGTGCACTGGACGCTGGCGCAGCAGCCAGGGAGGAGCGCAGGGGCGGGGAGAAGGAGGAAGAGGGGGAGGGAGACGGAGAGCCGGAGGAGGAGCGGGTGGGAGGAGCAGGGGCAGCAGCGACAAGCCCCTGTGTCTGAGAGTGACGTGGCACAATTCAATTCGTTGGTTCTGCGCCTGGCTGATGCCTTCAGCAGCAGCAGCAGCAGCGCCACCCGCCTCTGCATTCTCAAGCTCTTCCTCCTCCACCTCTCCACCGCCACTTCCCCTCTCCCTCCCTCTCCTCCCTCTCCTCCTTATCCCCCTGCTCCTTCTCCTCCTTCTCCGCCCTCTCCTGCATCTCATCATGCCACGCCAGCTGCACCCACTGGCCAATCCCTCGCACCTGCTGCCCTGAGAATGCCCCCCTCTGCTGGGTGGCGTGACGCGGACGGTGACGCCATGCCTGACGTCGGCAGCATGTGTGACGTCAGCCTGCTGCACTGGCGATGGAGGAGGGAGGGAGAGCGAGTGAGGGATGTGTGGAGGGGAGGGAGAGTGGTCGTGAGGGGAGCAGAGAGAGAACGTGGTGGTGCTGGCGTTGATGGTGATGATGATGGAAGCAACGGTGCTAGCAGCAGTGGTGATTGCTGTGAGAGACATGGAGATAGTGATGCTGATAGTCATGGTGGTGATAGTGATGGTGGTGCTGGCGGTGACTGGGCAGGCGTGTTGATTCCTCAGAAGCTCTTGAATCCAACCCAAGTCATCACCCGCATCTCCCCTCTGCTCTCTCGCTCCTCCTCCTTCCCACTCCCACCCACCGTCGCCGCAGCAGCAGCAACAGTCACAGTTACAGCAGGCACAACTGCAGCCATGCCAAGTGACTCCCCGTCGCCACCGTCGTCCCTTGCTGCTGGCGCTCTTGACGCTGTTGACTCCGTTGACTCCCTGGAAGCCCGCTGTCTCGCGCTGCGCCTGATTGGCTGCCTTGCTCCGCTGGCTGCTGACGTGGCACACGTGCAGGAGCTGGTGGTGCGGGCGGCGATGGAAGCAGAGGGACAGCAGGAGGTGAGCAAGGGAGGGAGAAGAGAAGGGGAGGAGGGGAAGGGGGGGATAAGGGGGAGTAGGAGGTGAAGCGGGTGGTGTGTTTAGGTTTGCATGCCTGTGTGCCTGTGTGTGTGCGCCTATGGTGTCATTATTCTGCATAAGTTGCTTGCTTTTCGCTTTATGGTACTCTCACAATTTTACCCCCCCCCCCCCCCCCCCCTCCTCCTCCCCCCCCTCACTTGCTGCACCTCGCCCATCTCACTCCCCCCCCGGCTCCCCTTCCTGCCGCCTGAATAGCCGCCCGTCCTCCCCTCCCTTATTCCTGCTCGCTGCTCGCGCTGCATCCTCTGCCTTGTCTTCCTTCCCACCCCAACCTCCATGCACACACAATTCACCCTGAATCCTCGCCTTCTCCATACAACTGTCCCACCCCAACCTCCACGCAGCTCTCCTTGCGGCCACATTCCTCTGTGTTGTCTCTGCCCCCTTCATCCTCAATCCCCCTTCTTCACCTCTATTCCTCGCGTCTTTCCCTTCCCCGCCTCTCTCCCTTATTCCCCTCCTTCCCTCCCTCCACTGTTCCTCTTCCCCCACCCTCAGCTCTCTTCGCGCTCACCTTCCTCCCATCCTTCGATTAAAATTTCAACAACCTCCCCCACCCTTTCCTCCCAACCCCATCACCCCAAACCCCCCCCCCCCCTCCCCCTCTCCCCTTCCCCAACCCCCCCCCCCCCCCCCCCCCCCCCCTCCCCTTCCCCAACCCCCCCACATCCCAACCCACCACCCCAGCAGCGCCATGCAGCTCTCTTCGCGCTCACCTTCCTCTGTGACGTCTCTCCTCCCTTCGCCCTCCACACTCTCCCCCTCCTCCTCTCCCTCGCTCTCCCCGCCTCCCCACCGCCACCCCTGCCCCTCTCCCTCAAACGCCATCTGCACCGCTTCTCACACCTGCCTCTCCCACACAAAGTCAAGCACACAGAGGGAAGGCTGGAAGAGGGACAAGCACACAGAAGGAAGGAACAGAAAGGACAAGCACAGCGCGGCGAGAATGTGACTGGGAAGCAGCAGCAGCAGCATGCCAGTCTGATGGCTGGTGAGGAGAGGGATGGGGAGGGGGGAAACAGGGAACATTTGTGTGAGGAGGTGATTCTTGATTTGGGTGCGAGTGGCAGCAGTGTTGTTGAAGTGCCTAGCGGGGCATGAGGAGACGCTGTGGGGCGCGTGGCGTGGCAGGTGAGAAATCGGATGGGAGGTGAGAAGAGGGATGGGATGGGGGAGAACGGTGTGGATGGGACGGGGAGAAAGGGGTTGGATGGATAGGAGGGTCAGAAGTGGGAGAAGCTTGGTGAAAAGGTGACTTGGTGGGCCTAGAGTACAGCAGCAGGAGACGAGTGGCGAGGCAGGTGAGGCAGGTGAGGCAGGTGAGGCAGGTGAGGCAGGTGAGGCAGGTGAGGCAGGTGATGACACAAGAGGGAAGCACAGCAGCAAGAGTGGTAAGAAGGGCCGCTTTGGTGGCCGATTGAGTGTCTGATGGGACTAAGCTGTCCTTAACATGAAGTGCTCTAAGTGTCTGATTGGTCATTGGACTACTCATAACGTGTGGTGAGTGACCACGTGTGGTGAGTGACCACGTGTGGTGAGTGACCACGTGTGGTGAGTGACCAGACCACTCATAACCCCAAGAGTGCAATGTGTGGTGGAGGATGGTAAGGCACCTTCGCCGACTTGTGTGGTGAGTTGCTTTTCACGAATTCTTTGTTACTTCTTCGAATGGCATGCGTGGTGATGGATGTGTAATGTGGTCTTATTCTTCACTTCTTTCCCAGTCTCACCTTCCCTGCTCCTTGCTCCTTTTCACCTCCCCTGCTCCTTGTTTCTCCCAGGTGGCAGTCTGCCTGCTCTCTGCCTTCCCCTGTGCCCCGTGGTCCCCACTACTGCGATCGTGGGTGTGCGCACTGCAGGCACAGCTCGGCTGATCACTGATTCGTTGCTGTGACATCACATACATACATTCATACTCGCGCATGCATTCACTCTCATACTACCCTTGCATACGTTCCCACTCATGTCCCCACATGCATTCACACTCACGTTCACATGCACTCACACCCACGCCCTTCTCATTGACACACTCTCGTGTGGGTTCAAACCGTTTGCATGCATGCTAGCATGTATGCTCTCACAGGCACGCATGGTAGTGTGTATGCTCTCACAGGCACGCATGGTAGTGTGTATGCTCTCACAGGCACGCATGGTAGTGTGTATGCTCTCACAGGCACGCATGGTAGTGTGTATGCTCTCACAGGCACGCATGGTAGTGTGTATGCTCTCACATTCATGCACGGTACAGTTCATACTCTCACATGAACTCACCTCAACATCCCCTGTGATCCCTCCAGGCATACAAACACGACTATCAACTCGCTCCTGGAAATGTATTAGCATATGAGCATTACCATATTGTGTCATCCAGACCATTTTTTTTCGTGCTTCGAGACACCAAAATGGCCCCTTTCAAATCCAACGTCGTCCCTTTCAATTCCTTAGAAGCCCTCCGGAATATCCAGGGTATACCAGCACTGCAAACTAGTGGTAAGCTTCAGGTGCAAGTCACCTTTCAATGGTTCAGAGCAGTAAAATACTGGTATTGCAATCACAACTTGTGATGAGTGGAACAAAACCAGTACATGTAGAGGGTAGACCAAATACTGTAATGAATACCGTATTACCCCGGATAGTAGCGCATATGCGCTTATAATAAAATCGATTTTTTTAAGGGGGGCGCTTGTAATTGAGTATCGGCCATAAGCGCCGGCGCTTATGTAATGACAAATACAGAAATACAAATTAAACGCACAAAATTGTACATTTCAGTCTCGTAAGTCCAATCGAATCGAACTTTTACAGCGTCCTGAATCAGAATCGCGCGAGGGCGATTCCCTGACTGTGCACATAGATTTGGCACGTCACTTTGCCCGCGTGCCAGCTCATCCTGACTGGACGCGCAACAAGTGAAGCCTTCGAAAGTCAAAACAAATTGAAATTGGGTGTTGACTCGCTTGAAATTCGAAATTCGTTACCGTTTTAAACAGGATTGTAAAATAAAATTAGGCATGCGCTTATAATAAATCAGGGTTTTACAGGGGGGGGGCGCTTATAATCGAGTTCCGGCCATAAGCGCATGGCTCCAGATAGAAGCGCCGGCGCCCTTAAACGGACGGCGCTTATATCCAGGGCCATACGGTAGTAGTGTTGTGCAAATTGGCAAACTCGAAATGATCTGACAGAGAGTTGTGGTGGATAAACTGCTACCTAAATTTTGCAATGGAGACTTGCTTCGTGTGTTGGAATAATCAAGCTTAGCTAAGACACGTATATCAACAGCATACGGTATGTACTAAGGTAGCTTCACTAACAGCGGCGTCCTAATGGAGAATGCAGTACCTTTATGATAATTCAATATGTAAAAAATTTTAAAGATAAAAAAAATCAAATTTGAGGATTGTGATTCGACTAGAGGAGTTTGCTGTAAAGGAGACAAACTCCTTGACATTCCTGCAGGTCTCTCAGACCTGCCACCTAGTCTCATTTGCATTTTCCAGATCTTGATTTGCTTACCACCAGCACACTCTCTAAACCCTTCTACCTCCTATGCCTAGGACTAGGCTGTCAGAATGTTATTATTAAGACAAGACTCTTCAAGGAGTCTGCAGAGCAGTCGTCATAGAGTCGTCATAGCATTTAAGATCTCAATCATACAGCACACTAGTGTCAGATTTATATGACAGAGCTACTGTAGGCTATAGTGGGGTAGCACATATGGGGTACAGTTTTCTAGGGTTTGCATTTGTACCCAACTTTCCCTTAGTCTTTCTCATTCCTCGTTTCTTCTCATGGTATCGAGCAGGTTCCCTAGTGGGAACGATTCCTAGGGCCCACCACCACGAATTTTTTTTTTTCCTGCCCGGAGCGCGCTTCGCTCAGGCCCGAGTCGCGCCCTGTGTGCTCTCCCTCCCGTCGCGCCCTCGCTAGGCCCCTCACGGCCCCGTCGCGTCGCCCTTAGCGGCCCCCTCACGGCTCGTCGCGCCGCCCCCTACGGCCCTTCGCGCCGCCCTTACGGCCCTTCGTGCCGCCCTTACGGCCCGTCGCGCCCGTCGCGCCGCCTTTACGGCCCCTCGTGCCGCCCCTTACGGCCCCTCGCGCCGTCCCTTACGGCCCCTCGCGCGGCCCCTTACGCCCCTTACGGCCCCTCTCGCGGCCCCTCACGGCCCCCTACGGCTCGTCGCCGCCCTCCGCGGCCCCGCCACCTACCTGTGCGGCCCCGCCACCTACCTGTGCGGCCCCGCCACCTACCTGCGGCCCCGCCACCTACTAGCGGCCCCGCCACCTACCTGCGGCCCCGCCACCTACCAGCGGCCCCGCCACCTACCCGCGGCCCCGCCACCTACCTGTGCTGGCCCCGCCACCTACCTGCGGCCCCGCCACCTACCAGCGGCCCCGCCACCTACCTGCGGCCCCCGCCACCTACTAGCGGCCCCGCCACCTACCTGCGGCCCCGCCGCCTCCTCTCAGCGGCCTCGCCGCCTCCTCCCAGCGGCCCCGGACGCCGCCCTCTCAGCGGCCCCGCCGCGCCGCCAAGCAGCCGAGCCGCCCAGCCGCCGAGCCGCCCAGCAGCCGAGCCGCCCAGCAGCCGAGCCGCCGAGCCGCCCAGCAGCCGAGCCGCCGAGCCGCCCTGCAGCCGAGCCGCCGAGCCGCCCAGCAGCCGAGCCGCCGAGCCGCCCTGCAGCCGAGCCACCCGAGCCGCCCTGTCCGGTAAGAGCAGCGCCTCTTTCATAGCACTGCCCTCACCCTACTGTTTGCGCTGCTAGTCTACTGCTGTCATGGCTACCCCTAGTGTCCTCGCTTTTGACGCTGAGGGTTGGGCCATTGACTTTGACGTCTGGATAGATGACCTGCAGCTTTTCTTACAGTGCGACAGAGCAGACGGCCTCTCCCTCTTTGACCTCACTTCTGGTGCCTCCCCTGCCCCCGCTGCTGATGCTGACGCCACTGTTCGCTCACAGTGGGCCACGCGCGATGCTGCTGCACGTCTTGCTGTGCGTCGCCACCTGCCTACCTCTGAGCGTGCGCACTTTAGCCAGTACAAGAGTGCTCACACCTTGTACGACGCTGTAGTTGCGCGCTACTCCTCCCCTGCCACTGCTGCACTGAGCCGCCTCATGCTACCGTACCTCTTCCCTGACCTTGCTGCCTTTCCCACAGTCGCTGACCTCATTACGCACCTCCGCACTAGTGACACTCGCTACCGCGCTGCGCTTCCTGCTGAGTTCTGCGCCAAGAACCCCCCCCCCATGTACATCACCCTCTACTACATAGTCACCCGGCTCCCTGACTCCCTTCGCGTAGTCAGGGACCACTTCCTCTCAGTTTGCCCCACCACTCTCACCGTTGACCTCCTCGAGAAGTCCCTCCTAGCAGCAGAGAAGAGCATAGTCGCTGTAGGAGCCTCTCGTGGTGACCCTCGCACCCCCATCTTTGAGGGGTGTTCCCCCTCCCCCCTTTTGCCCTCTGTTGCCTCTGCTGCTGCGGCTGACATCGTTGGGCTTGAGTCGGTCGGTGCGGCGTCTACCCCTAGCGG